GACTGGGCAATCTGCGCCGGCAAGGTCCTCGGCGGGCAGACAAATCTCAGCTTTCATCTGCACTGCTTGGTCAGTGGCGGCGCGCTCTCGAAGTTTCGCTTTTCGCGCACATGCCACTGCTTCTTCTGCTTCATTAGCATGATGGACCAGAGCAACCGCTTGCACCGCCCTCGCGCGCGCGTCGCATCCTCCACGGATCGATGAAAAAGACCTGCCTCTATCTCTGCCTTCTCCATCAGCTGATGCATAATTATGTGTTCCCCCCACTGCTGCCCCCCCCGTTGCTCGGTTTCCCACGTCTGCCATTTTCTGCTCAGCGTGCTCTTCCAAGTCTGTCTTCGGCCTTCCAGCCTTCAGAATCAGCCGAGCTGCCTGCGACGCCGCCCGCCGGCCCAAGCGGGCGTGCTGCGCTGCGAGGCACGCCGACGGCCCCCCCCCCTTTGAATAATCCAGATGCGCTCGGCCTGCCGTGTCTGAATCGCGCGAACTTGCGCGGCCAGTTCCTATCGAAGTCCCGTTTCATCGTGGCCAATATTCCCTCTGCCGCTCCCCGATGCGACTCCGAGAGACAGAGACGATGGCAATCGCACCATTCATCTCTATGCATTCGGAGCAAATCTACTTGAAATTGCAATGATTGCAAGCGCGTGAACACCTCCCGCACACCGCCCGATGGCACGGACCCTGAACCTTCTCGGGGCACCTGTTTTCCGCAGACGGGCAGCGTCGAGGACCTCTGGCCCAACAACCCATGTTCAACGAAAGTCAGCCAGAAGACGATCCACTGGATCCGTGGCTGCTCCTCGATCTGGCACGCATTCTGGATGCCGGCGGCGATCTTGATGCGGACCTCCTGATGACATTACGCGGAGGCAACATTGGAATCGAGATTGCCTCTGGGACCTCGTGCGTAGCTGGGCACTGCTGGCCATGACTCAGGCACCCTGCCAAGCTGGAAGTCTGCTTTGGAAAATCAGACTCCATGGTTACATCCTCAGACACCTTAGGGCGGTTTGCTCCTGGTGACTCTGCCGCGTTGTCTCTCGCGAGATCTGTTTGAGATGCGATCAAAGTTCTGTAGTCTCTGATGGACGAAACGTCAGATTTAGATTTTCTTATCTCATGATATCGGACAGCGAATGAAACAAGTCAGCTTCCACCTCCACAGGTTGCACCAGTGCCGATTCGCTGTCTTCCATCGGAACAGAGGGGTTATCAAGCATCGAGATAACGGCAACGCCTGGAGGGATATGACCTATAATACCTATACGACCACCCTTCGGGTGATAAGGAGGTGAGGGGGGGGAAGGGACCAACGTCGCACTCGATCGATCTCACTATCGAACTCATTACCGATCTCGCAATCGATCTCAACCGATGGATCTTTCAATCGGTCGGACTATCGATGTCACTATCGATCTCGCAATCGATCTCACATTCGGTCTCGCTATTGATCTCACAATCGATATCACAATCGATCTCACAATCGATCTCACAATCGATCTCACATTCGATATGACTATCTATATCACTATCAAACGCACGATCGACCTCACTATCGATCTCACATTCGGTCTCACTATCGATCTCACTACTGGTATCACAATCGATCTCACAATCGATTTCGCATTCGGTATCACTATCGATCTCATTATCGAACGCGCTTTCAATATCAGTATCGAGCTCACATTCAGTCTCACTAACGATCTCACTATCGATCTCACAACCGATCCCACAATCGATCTCACATTCGGTCTCATCATCGATCTCACTATCGAACTCACTATCGATCTCATTATCGATCTCAATCAATCGATCTCACAATCGATCTGACTATCGATCTCACAATCGATCCCACAATCGAGACACATTCGGTCTCACTATTTGTCTCACCATCGATATCACCATTGATATCACAAACGATATCCCATTCTGTCTCACAATCGATCTCACTACCGATACCACTATCGATATCACTATCGATATCACAACCGATCTCACAATCGATCTGACATTCGGTTTCACGTTCGATCTCACAACCGATATCACCATCGATCTAACTATCGATCTCACATTCGACCTCACTATCGATCTCACAATCGATCCGCATCACCATCAACAGCATCATCGGGACACCATCAACACCATCATCATCATTATCATCATCATCATCATCAGCACCATCATCATCATCAACATCATCATCATCGGGGCACCGACGGGGCACCGACGGGACACGGGCGGGACACCGCGGGCCCCCGGCCGCCCGGAAGGGAGTCATTTGGTCCGGCCGCGCCTCAGCCACACGGGACACCAGCGGGACACCGGCGGGACACCGCGGGCCCCCGGCCGCCCGGAAGGGAGACATTTGGTCCGGCCGCGCCTCAGCCACAGGAGACTTTCTCTCGTCCGCCCACGCAGCTTCGCCTCGCCCGCACGGCAGGCACGAACACGAAACCGAAATCGATTTCCCGGTAGGGGGGCTCTCCGTTCCACTTCGATCTCACCCCCTCACCTCCGACCTCATTGGGCGGGGTGTTCGGATGATCTTGCGCAGTCTCCAACTGAACAAGCACATTGAATCTACTGACGGCGGCCAATTTCATGTCGCATACACTATCAGAGTGTTCGGTTCTTAACCAAATCATTCGCCAAAGGAAGACGCTTTCTGGACAAAGTAGGATGCAATGGTGATGTAAACATATTATCGGTGTCATCGCTCATGATGGGAATATCAAACATGTTCCCTATGACGCAATGGTCCGTTAAGCTGATATAGGGATGAAGGAGCAAAAAAGGAGGGGACGACGCTGGAACTCCGACCCAAACGCCCTTCTTCTCCGCGCGCGCGACACGCTCCTGGCACGAATCTCGTGCCTCAATCCTTGAACACGCAGCTGCGAAAGCGGCGGCAGTTGGTGGCGGCAGAGAGCGAGCGGGGAGAGAGGAAGTCGTTAAGAAATGCCGGAGATTCACATATGGAGGGCGTTTCATTTCCAAAATGTGGCCTTCGCCTTCGTGCCATGCATATTCGGCCTCAGAGTTTGCAGCGGCTCAAAGATCCGCCGGCCCCCTTGCGGGGCCATCAGGCTGCGAGGATTAAGGTTGCTGCTCCCTGCACCAGTTCCAGTTTCCAGTTTCCATTGTTACAATAGTGCTTTCTGCTTCCTACTGTAACTTGTTACTGTCCGCGCGAGGGGGGGAGCCGAAAAGGGCCCTGGTTAGCGTCCCCCGGGAAAGTTCTCAGAATTTCTGAGGGGGGGCGTGGGACACGCAAACATACAGAAGCTTCGTGCCCCCGAAGCCAGAATCCCTCGCAAATTACGCTGTCTTCGCGCCCCCGAGGCCACGATCCCTTGAAAATTACGCCACGCTCGCGTCTCCGAGGCCACGATCCCTTCTAATTTACGCCGCACTTGCGTCTCCGAGGCCACGATCCCTTATAAGCTACTCCACTTTCGCGCCCTCGAGGCCACGATCCCTAGTAATTTACACCACATTCGCGCCCCCGAAGCCACGATCCCATGTAATTTACATAATGTTCGTGCCCCCGAGGCCACGATCCCTTGTAAATTACACAAAATTCGCGCCCCTGACGCCACGATCCCTTGTAAATTACGCAGCGGGCGCGCCCCCGAGGCCACGAATCCGCCTTGCGGAGGCTGCCGAAAAGGCGCTCCCCCTCTCCAAAGCAGAAAAACAACAGCTTTCTGCATTGGGAGATGTGCTCCGCTGGTATTATTTTGCCGCCCCCCCCGTTTCTTGAAAATTTGGCGGTGGGTTCCACATTCACCCCCCCAGGCCACGATCCCTCGTAAGTTATGCCACATTTGCACCCCCGAGGCCACGATCCCGCGTGAAATACGCCACATTCGCGCCACCGAAGCAACGATCCCTCATAAATTACGCCGCTGTCGCGCCCCCCAGGCCACGATCCCCCGTAAATTACGCCACGCTCGCGTCCCCGAGGCCACGATCCCCCGTAAATTACACCAAATTCGCGCGCACCCCCCGCGCTACGAATCCACCTCGCGGAAGCTGCCCAAAGGCGCCACTCCTTCTCCAGAGCAGAAAAAAAACTAACCTTCCCAGAGATTGCCTGAAGCAATCCCCAGCCGTTCCAAGAACGCTTCCAGTGAACAACTGGAGAAAATGTCAAGAAGGCAACAAACGTTCAACAACAACTTCAACATCTCAATCTGTTTTGCTCATCGCCAGCCGCCCTAGCATGACGCTCCCGAGTGTCATCAAGACGGCGCCCGAACATCCCAATATAGCTCTGGTGTATCCCATTACAATAGAGAGGGGGGCCGGCGGCAGGGGGCGAAGCCCTTACAGATTATCATGGCCAACGTACCAGTAACGGTGTCTTGGCAGGATGTCGGAATGTCAGGGAGCAACAGCCACGCTCATTCGCGTCGCTGAAATCCCAGGAATGGTGTTATGGCACGAGTCGTCAAGACGCAACAATGACGATGACTCGCGGCGTTGAAGTCCCAGGAATTCTGAATATTGAAAAGGTGTTCCTCCAACGGTGCACTTCCCTCTGCTATTAAGGAACCCTTGTATGGGGCCTACGAACAGAAAGCTTGGAAGGAGGGCTGATTGCAATATCGTTGATGGATATTGGCTTTACACTGGTCCTCCTTCTACAATCGGGCCGCTGGCCGAAGGAACGATGATTCAGGAGCGAGGCCCATCATTTCCAAAAAAGCCCATGCAGTCAGAAGGAACACAAGGGGGGCTCGCCGCCCCCCCCCCAAAAAAAACGGAACGCATGCAAACCTAAGGAACGGCCGAACTCCTTTTGAAAAGAACCTGTTCCTTATTCAGCGACAGACTGTGTAACCCTCCTCGCTGTTCCTCCCCCTCCTACTCCTCCTTTTCCTCCTCCTCCTCTTCCTCCTCCTCCTCCTCCTCCTCCTCCTCCTCTTCCCTCCCTCAGGGTCCATCCCAACCTCCCTCCCGACAGGAAACGGGGCGCGGGGGGCGGGAGGCGCCCGGAAGAGCCGCAGCACTCGCAGGGCGGTGAACGGCCCGCCGCCGCCGAGAATCTGGCGCCCAACGGGGTCCTCCTCTTCCTCCACCTCCTCCTCCTCCTCCTCCTCCTCCTCCTAGCTAAGGAGAGACATTGGGTCCCAGAGTTCTTTGCTCTTTGCTCCTCCTCCTCATCCTCCTCCTGCTCCTCCTCCCCCTCCACCTCCTCCTCCACCTCCACTCTTCCTCCACCTCCTCCTCCTCCTACTCCTCGTCGTCACCATAATCATCATACTCGTCATCATCATCATCATCATCATCATCATCATCAGCATCATCATCATCATCATCATCATCATCATCATCATCATCATCATCATCATCATCATCATCATCATCATCATCATCATCATCATCATCATCATCATCATCATCATCATCATCATCATCATCATCATCATCATCATCATCATCATCATCATCATCATCATCATCATCATCATCTTCATCCTCATCATCATCTTCATCATCATCATCATCATCATCATCACCACCATCATCATCATCATCATCATCAGCATCATCAGCATCGTCATCATCTCCACCACCAATGTCACCACCACCATCGACATCACCATCATCATCACCACCACAATCATCACCATCATCACGATCATCCTCCTCATCCTCATCCTATTCCTCTTCCTCATCACCATCACCATCATCAGCATCATCAGCATCATCATAATCAGCATCATCATCATCATCGGCATCATCATCATCATCATCATCATCATCATCATCATCATCATCATCATCATAAACAACATCATCATCATCATCATCATCATCATCATCATCATCATCATCATCTGCAACATCGTCATCGTCATCGCAATCGTCTTCATCTCAGCATCATCATCATTATCATCACCACCACCACCATCATCATCATCAGTATCATCATCATCAGCAGCAGCATCATCATCCTCGTCGTCGTCGTCGCCGCCGCCACCCCCGTCATCATCATCATCATCATCAGCAGCAGCAGCATCATCACCATCATCATCATCATCATCAGCATCATCACCACCATCACCATCACCATTCCCATCATCGTCATCAGCATCATGATCATCATCATCATCATCAGCAGCATCATCATCATCATCATCCTGACAACCCTTCCCCCTCATCATCATGAGCATCATCATCATCAGCAGCAACATCGTCATCATGATCATGATCATGATCATGATCATGATCAGCATCATCATCGTCAGCATCATGATCGTCGTCATCATTGTCCTCGTCATCATCATCGTCATCAGCACATCATCATCATCCTCATCCTCAGAATCTTCACTCAACACCATCATCATCATCATCATCATCATCAGCAGCAGCAGCAGCAGTAGCTTCATCATAAGCATCAGCATCAGCGTCGTCGTCACCATGATAATAATCATTATCATGATCATCATCATCATCATGAGCATCATCATAATCATCATCATCATCATCAGCATCATCATCAGCATCATCATCATCACCACCATCATCATCATCATCAGATTCATCGTCATCAACATCCTCATGGTCATCATCATCAGCAGCATCATCATTAACATCATCGCTGTGTGCTGTTACCTCTAGGTTTTCTCAGCCGCCTGCTGCCCCTGCCTGCTCTCTTTCTCTCCCTCGCTTCCCCTCTGGGGCTCAAGCCTTTCTGGGTCAAGCTGGGGGTGGGCCTCAGGTGGCCCACAACATCCCAGGGGTCCTCGGAAGCCGACGCGGGCGGCCATGCCCGGCCGCGCAGCGCCAGGGCGCTGGCCGAGCGGCGAGCCGCCCCCGCCGGGCGCCCAGGCTGCGCAGAGGGGAAGGTCGACCGCTTCGCGGCATCGGCAAACGCCCACCGCGTAGCGTTGCTGGCCCCCCTCTGCTTGCCAGCCTGGCAGGCTTGAGGGGGACAGCCAAGCTCATCTGCTCGCCCAAGTGCGAGCTGCTGGCGATCAGGCTTCGGCGGGCGTTCGCTGGGTCGCGCCTGGAGTCTGCCCAGCCACGCCAACGCTGGGGCGCAATCCGGGTACCGCTCGTTCACGCACAATGGCTCGGAGGTCGCCACGGCTTTCGAGGACAGGGGGCCTGGCAAGCTTGGTGCGCCGTCCGAACTGCCGGCCTCCGGCAAAGAACAGGATGCAAACCAGTCCCTCTCCCGTCCAGCACCCCGGGATATCTCCTGGATCTGGGGCTCGGGAACCCGAGCCTTGATTTGGGAGTCCCTGGGGAACCGAACATAGTGCTGGAGAGCAGACGAGGTAGGGGGATGGCGGCTGGCTGCTCTACATCATGGACCACGGAGGCGTCTACCTCTTCGGCGCGGCCTGGCCAGTCATCGCGGAACTCGGCATCGTCCTGAGCTTCGCCGGGATCCTGGCCCTACAGGGGCACAGCCTGAGGACCGTCTTCGCTTCCTGCAGCTGGTGCATCTGAGAGCTCGGCAGGTTCTCCATGGCATCTTCAAGTGCCCTCGGCGCTCGCCTGGCAAGGCAGAAGTAGACAAGCTTCTGGCGCCGGCGGTGCCTCAACCGACTGTCGCTGCCTGGGCAGGCCCAGCCACGGGCTTCACCACAACCGCCGAGTACTTCGCAAAGAAGGTCCAGGGGCGAAGTACGAGCCAGAAGTTCAACGACGTTCTCATTCGGATCGATGGCCACGTGGCCTGCCTCCACCGCTCCGACCAGCCACTGCTGCGGATCATCTACACAACGGTGAAGGAGACCAGCTCTCGTGCCCTGAGGCAGCGCTTAGAGCAAGCCGAGCCCAAGCGCGCCCAAGCCGCACTCCCTCTCATAAGCGCGGCGCTTCAGGGAAAAGGACGGAGTCTGGCCTGCCCCTGTTCTGGCAGCGGGACTTTGGCGAGAAGAGATCGGACCCCAGCCTCCGGAAAGGAGGGACCGCGGCCACGTACGACGTGACGTCGAACCCCAGCCTGGTCCAACGGTTCGGGCGCTGGCAGAACGACACCTTCCACGAGGACGTCTGGGAGTCGCACGAGCCCATGAGGGGCGCGGACGACGGCAAGGGCCCCGACGACGCTGCCGAAGGCAGTACACCTCGGCCACACTGCTGGACCACGCTACCTGGCACGGCCGCTCGGAGAGGAGGAAGGGCCTGCAGAAGCCCATCCACACAGCGTGATCGGAGGGACGCCGGAGGCGGGGGTTTCTCTGACCCCGGGAGGCTTCCTGGAGCACTGGCCGTGCTGGTCATAGCGTTGGCGACGGTCCTCGGGGAGAGCCTGCTACCTCCTGGGGAAGCACCACCAGCCCGGAGAACCAAATGGCCGGCAAAAGAAGATCGTGGATGACGAGAAGCCCAACAGGCTGCCGGGCAGCGCGGGCGGCGCAAGAGCATGCTCTGCATCAGCGCGGGCGCCCAGGGACCCGTGCACTACAACGGCACGAGGTACGTGCACGCGAGGCAGGGCTTCAGGCGCGGCGACGAGGTCACTCGCGCCACCGCGATGAAGCAGCACAGCGACTGAGGCCGCCGCCGGCCGGCTGGCAAGGATGCCAGGCTGCCGGGCGGTGGGAACAGGCGCCGGCCACGCCCTAGACCTTAGTTCGTTGGTCCGCTGAGGCGTGCACCCCCAGCACACACGGAAAGGGCGTTCGCGCCCAGTGCCAGCAGACACGCAGACCGCCAGCTGATCGCCCATCACATCGGGGGGGCGATGACCCCGCGGGCGGCCAGGTTGGGAGTGAAGACCCTGGCCGAAGCCCGCCCCAGACGATCGGCAAGCTTACGCGCCGGGCACCCGCTGGACCAGCAGGCGCTGGCGCGACCGCGCCTGGCCCAATCACGCGCTGGAGCGGCCCGCTGTGGAGGCGGCAGTGACGTCGGGAGCTAGATGCTGGCAGGGCTCAACCTAAACGGTGCGATTTTGTGGACCGTTTTCGTTTTGACCCCATTTTGCAGCGAGGGCGGAGCGAAAACCAAACGAAAGAAAACGAAAGCAAACCGAAAACTAAAAACAATGTTTTGGTCAGGCACTGGATGCTGGCGCCCGCCTGCGCAGCTCCTTGCGCGCGGCAAGGTGCAGCCTCAACGGAGGCCAAGGCCACCGCAGTACGGGACTGACCTAGTGAACGGCGCCGAGGAACCCCACGGCGGATTCTAAAAGGAGCGGCGAAACCCGCTTCGCACGGCAGAAAATGGACGCGCGTTGTGGTGCATCCTGTGCCAAAATATTAACGTCGCCATATGATGCCGGCGTCGCCTCCCCTTCCTTCCCTCCAGGCTCATAGGCTCGTTTGCGTTACTGTCATCACTAATTTCAGAGACAGCGCCATCATCATAATCACCAGCAGCAGCGTCCTCATCTCATCACTACCAGCACCACCATCATCACGATCATCAACATCATCATCATCAGCAGCAGCATCAGCATCACCATCATGATCAGCAGCAGTATCAGCATAAACGTTACCACCATGGCCAACAAAACCCACAACATCCATATTCGTACTCATGTTCATAATCATGTTCGTATTCATCATTATAGCCACGATCGTACTAATATCATGCGTTTTCGTGATCATAATCATCATCATCATCATCATCATCATCATCATCATCATCATCATCATCATCATCATCATCATCAGCATCAGCATCATCATCATCATCATCTGCTTCAGTGGCAGCATGATCGGCATGACCGTGGTCATCATCTTGCTTCCCATGATCATCATCAACATCATCGCCGTCATCATAATCGTCAACACCGCCATCATCGCGGTTATTAGGATCATCGTCGTAATCATCGACATCGGCATAGCCATCACCATCCCAATAGTAATCATCACCTGTACTGTACTGTACTCTATGGAAGCGGCCGTCTGAGCCAGCCGCCCCAAACAACGTGAACTCACACAGTCGGAGGTGAGGGGGCGAGATCAAAGTGGAACGGAGAGACCCCGTACCGGGAAATCGGTTTCGGTTTCGTGTTCGTGCGTGCCGTGCGTGCCGGCGAGGCGAAGCTGCGTGAGCGGGCGAGAAGAAAGTCTCCTCT